TCGGCAACGTAGAAAGAGTAGGACGAGTGGATTGCAAGATAATATGGATTATTAAGGTGATCTGCTGCGCTGCCTGATGCTCCTGTACCGAAAACAGTGATAGCTGATGCGTTCCAACACAATCCTCCTGTACAAGCTAAAAATGCAAAGTGACCACGTTATGGCAGAACCTTGAGGGTGTGGGGCGGATGGAGAAATTGAATTCTATCCTGTCAGGATCTGCCATCTATATATGTTATATAGATGAACGATCATCCTCTTTCTTCTTTTTCTTGCCTTCTCTCGCTTCTCCCTCTGATATATATGTTGTTGTTTTTACTTGATGATGAGGATGATGATTTATTCAATATGGTGATTTAAGTTATCTATTTGTTTTTTTGTTATTGTTTGTTTTCTTGTTGTTCCTTTTTCTTTTTTTTGTGAAAGGTTCAGGTTCACGTTACATTATTTTAATAAAGAGAAGTACGTATCCTAACATATCCGAAACACGCCCTCACATATACCCTAACATGGAGCATATTGTGGTTAAATGATGAATTACTGAGATGTCATGAAAGTTGCATGAAACGAACATTTTAACACAATAATATTAGCTACTGAAAACTCCGATCAACAGATTTTCAATATTGCTGATTATGATAGTTACTGTTCGATGGAAATATAAAACTTTTCACAGTGCCTCGTATAAAAGCATGATGCTCCATGAAGTTTAATCCGTGCCAGTCCTCACATATGTTATTATCTTTTCTTGTCTTCCTCTATCAAGCCATCCGTACTGGTTTAGTTAGTGTTTTTTCCAATAAACAAGAGCGGTGAGCATCCGGTCCCTAATACAGCTTATCATTCATTATATGATAAGAAGAATGTAGATAGCTACGTATTTATTCTTGCGCACTAGTCAACGTCGCTAAACGACTTCCATCTCTAATTATGAAAATGCTTGAATACAAAAACAGTCTAGTACATACCAGTACTGTTTGTGGCCGATGCTTGTGCTCCTGTAAACGAAAAATTTTCTTTCTCACCTGAGATTATCGAGTATCTCGTCTTACTCGTTAACCAAATTGTAGTAACCACCACCAGAGGAATGCCGACTAGTACCAAAACAAATAGGGATCCCATAAGACAACCTTTGAACCGTGGTGACTGAAGACTAGTACAAAGAAAAACGAAGAAAATCAATCGAATGATCAAAACTAAAGTTACCTGGAGTATTTCATTTTGTTTTGCGATACATAATCATTTCGGGTATTATTACTAAATGTGTCTACTTTTGCTGACGAAGGATTAGTTTTCACTTTGCCTGATGATACGACTACTGGATACACATTTGAAATATTTCTGTTTGTTTGAGATGACCATACACTTCGGCTGTGCTCGACTCTTGGGGGTTCATCACTCAACAGAGGGTGAACTGACGTAACTCGCGCATTGGAATCTGGGGCATTGAATGGATTTTTCAAATTACTATCTTGCGTAGGTTTGAAGTAACTGATGTCGAGAGTATTAGTACGTTTTTCGGTATTCTAAACAGATAAACGAATATCCTATATTATAAAGCATCAACTCAGGTGTGAATTGCACGTACCATCAAAATTACACTCTTGATTTCAAGAACTGTATGAGCTAAAAAATGAAATATACAACGTCAACTTGATGTGCTTTTTCACAAATCTTGATAGGCTTTAGTCAAACAATCGTTATGCCACACGATGCTCTCTCAATATAGTAGCAAAAAACAGGTTTTTCTTTTTATGCATAATATAATAGTACTTGAGAAAAAAAAATGTATATTTTATTTTCCATTAAAAATTACAGTGATTCTTTCTCTGGAGTCAAGAAAAAATTGCATATTTTTAATGGATTATAAGTTGCATTGGAAACTTGACGAAGTGGCGACTATAGGCAAGATGCTTCAATTCTCGCGTATTGTAACTCATTTTTTTACTTTATGCGTATCTCATCGAATGCTGATTGGTTGAAAGGTCTCACTTGATTTCAGTTAGATTTGAGGTAGAATACAATCGGCACATTGTTTAGAGTCTGAGCCACACAATTTTATTATACTACATCCTCTTTGTTTTCTCAGCCACTATACGATTTTCTCCATTCGTGAACGAAATGCGTTGAACTCGGCTACACAGCTAGATTTTTGGTTTAAATTGTTCAATTTTCTTTTGTATACAATTGATGCTACTACCCTATAATTATGAGGCAATTTCACTAAATGGTGCCGATTCGTGTGGCGGTTTGTTATCACTTTAGAGACTCCGACATGTACGCCCATACCCATAAGGGTATGTCGAATGAGATGTCTACATTACAAGTATTTAAAAATATTATTGATGCTCGAATAATGTGTAGGAGTTTCTTTAAAATTTTTGGATTTCCGTGAAGGCCGTTCCGACCCTTTAAAGTTTATTTTCGATGGAGAGCCCGGAATGTTGCTGAAATTTTCCATAAATTTTGGGCACATAAGAGTAAATATAAGAAGTTAATTTTTGCCGCAATAAACCTGTTACTTCAGAAGATATCTAGAGGTAAAGACCGAACGTGTCTCCGACTGATACTTTTTCCCACTATACTTCAAGGTTTTGAACTGGGACCTACTTTATTTGATAAATAGCTGTCATCTCCTTCAGATGAGTGTTCTCAAAAATACCTAGAGTTTAAAGGATGTAATCTAATAAAATGATGCGGCTCAGACTCTAAATAATGTCTCGATTGTATTCTACCTCAAATATAACTGAAATCAAGTGAGATCTTTCAACCAATCAGCATTCGATGAGATGCGCATAAGGTAAAAAAATGAGTTTGAATACTCGAGAATTGTAGCATCGTGCATATAGTCGCCACTTCGTCAAGTTTCCAATGCAACTTATAATCCATTGAAAATATGCAATTTTTTCTTGACTCCAGAGAAAGAATCACTGAAATTTTTAATTGAAAATAAAATATACACTTTTTTTTCTCAAGTACTATTATATTACGCATAAAAAGAAAAGCCTCTTTTTTGCTAATATATTGAGAGAGCATCGTGTGGCATAACGATTGTTTGACTAAAGCCTATTAAGGTTTGTGAAAAAGCACATCAAGTTGACGTTGTATATTTCATTTTCTAGCTCATACAGTTGTAGAAATCAAGAGTGTAATTTTGATGGTACGTGCAATTCACACCTGAGTTGATGCATTATAATATAGGATATTCGTTTATCTGTTTAGAATACCGAAAAACGTACTAATACTCTCGACATCAGTTACTTCAAACCTACGCAAGATAGTAATTTGAAAAATCCATTCAATGCCCCAGATTCCAATGCGCGAACTACGTCAGTTCGCCCTCTGTTGAGTGATGAACCCCCAAGAGTCGAGCACAGCCGAAGTGTATGGTCATCTCAAACAAACAGAAACATTTCAGATGTGTATCCAGTAGTTGTATCGTCAGGCAAAGTGAAAACTAATCCTTCGTCAGCAAAAGTAGACACATTAAGTAATAATACCCGAAATGATTATGTATCGCAAAACAAAATGAAATACTTCAGGTAACTTTAGTTTTTATCATTCGATTGATTTTCTTCGTTTTTCTTTGTACTAGTCTTCAGTCACCACGGTTCAAAGGTTGTCTTATGGGATCCCTATTTGTTTTGGTACTAGTCGGCATTCCTCTGGTGGTTGTTATTATAATGTGGTTAAGGGGTAAGGCGAGATACTCGATAATCTCAGGTGAGAAAGAAAATTTTTCGTTTACAGGAGCACAAGCATCGGTCACAAACAGTACAGGTATGTACTAGACTGTTCTTGTTTCCACCCATTTTCAGAATTACATCAAGTAACTTTTCCGAGAATTTGCCTAATACGTAAATAAATACGTGAAAAAGAACATAGAGCAGCATGCTGGTTCACAGAATTGGAAATATAGGTGTTATTTTTTCAGGAGGTAAGGCTCCAACTACAAGTGGTATCAACATTAAATTTTATAGTTAACGAAAGCTCGTCGAAAACGGGATTTAGTAGAATAAGTAGGGGTTTATAGAATGAGCCTGATGTAGAGAATAAGTCAAATACGGAAAAAAGCCCAGCTGTAAAAAGCAGAGCTCTGCAACGTTTGACAGGAGGGACATATTTCTTGAAAGCTGCTTATTTTTCATGCTTCACTACCCATAGTCCTCAATTATATGCCCGAGATTTTAGAACTTGGACGCATTCTCAAGCTTATGTTCATTCTATGAATTGTTGACTATACTACTAAATCCAGTTTTTGACGTGCTTTCATTTGCCATAAAATGAAATGTTGAGATCGCATGTCATGGAAGCCTTATCACCCTGGAAAAATATTATTTACGGCCCTTTACAAGCTACTGGTCAAAGTTTTACAATTGAATATGGCCATGTATTTGATAACAGCAATGGTGAAAAGTTCTCGATAAAACCTAGGCAGCGACTAATGTCATTGTGTTTTGGATAGAATTCATCTTCTCCATCAGACCCACACCCTCAAATAGATGTCTTAGTTTTCCTCGTTTTGCGTAAGAAACTTTGCGATCCACTTTGGATTTGAATATTTTCATTTTGACGAAATGCATATGACCGCCAAGGTTCTGACATAATGTGGTCACATTATATTTTTAGCTTGTACAGGAGGATTGTGTTGGAATGCATCAGCTATCACTGTTTTCGGTACAGGAGCATCAGGCAGCGCAGCAGATCACCTTAATAATCCATATTATCTTGCAATCCACTCGTCCTACTCTTTCTATGTTGCCGACTATTCGAATAATAGAGTGCAAAAAGTTGCTGTCTTCTCGGCGAATGGTACAACCGTAGCTGGCCAAGCAAATACAGCTGGGGGTTCCACGGCCTTATATTTGAACAATCCTACATACCTCATAATAGACTCTGGTGGCAATCTGTACGTTTCGGATTCGCAAAATCATCGTGTTCAATATTTTATGAATGGTACAATGACAGGAGTAACAATAGCTGGTACAGGTAAATTTTCGATCAAATCTGTTCTCCATTAATAGTATAGCAGTCATAATCGAATGAAAAAATGTAGATCGATTGACTCTTCGCAAGAATGCTCCTCTGCGACGTTGGGCTGTTTAGTAATTTGAATCGGATATTTGATTTTAGGAAGTTCGGGCACTTCACTGAACCAATTGAATAATCCATATGGTATAGCTCTCGATTCAAGTACGGGCAAACTTTACATATCAGACACGAACAATCACAGAATCATGTGTTATCTCTCCGGTGCATCAAATGGTACTATTGTGGCCGGTGGTAATGGCGCAGGGACACTCAATAATCAACTATATTATCCGATGGGTCTCTCTCTGGATGTGTCATCAAACAGTCTTTTTATTGCTAACAGCAACGCCCATAATATAGTGCGTTGGGTGGTGAATGCCAGCACTTGGACTCTTATGGCTGGTACTCCTAATGGACAATCTGGTTCTATATCGACCATGCTTAATTTCCCGACAGATTTCGCTTTCGATTCGAGCGGTAATTTGTATGTTGCCGATACTAACAATGATCGCGTTCAACTTTTCTTGTCCGGTCAATTCAACGGAACAACGATTGCTGGCTCGACGAGTCAATCTGGCAGTACGGCTGTCCTACTTAGCGGGCCACGTTCAATTACATTGGACAGTGCTTTGAATTTGTACGTGGTGGATAGTGGGAACAGTCGCATACAGAAATTTCAGCGGTCCTAAAAACATTAGCGAGTCAGTTCGGAAAAGCTTTCGGTATTAATAATTTGAGGTTGTTCTATGAGAAATAAAATGTATGCTTAGATTCAAGTGTTGGGAAACAAACGAAGAAGGGTAGCATGTTATAGAACGTTGAAAACATGACTGGTAATATGTATTGAATAATAGAGCGAAGGAATTGAACATGATCGCCTTATTCGGCACGGCAGACTGCAGCATAAAATAAAGATAGTTCTCTCAATCGGCAACTATTCTACGGACCAATTCTATATCTGCGTTACGAATAATGTATTGGCATTATAATTCTGTCCGGTTACTCTCTTAATTCCGCAGATCAATAATTGATTTGCTTCGCTAAGTAGTGTGCACTAATCAGCATAGATATCATTGTTATAATGCTTTGTTAACGCGCAGATAGCCAAAGAAGCGTAGCAGCCATATCAGCTATATGATCTATGAGTGATACCTTTTTCTGTCATAGTTTTGTTTTCAGCCCAAACAGTCACAAAACCAATGAAGAATATATTAAAATAGTCAGCGATAAACATTAGAGTATCAGTCGAAGATGAAACTACCCATGGAAAAATATTCGTTATAATGAAAGTGAAAGAACGCGTTTTCGAAAAAATTGAACGTATTTTATCGACTACAAACGCTTTCTAAGAACAAATTGGCTCGTTTAGACGCGTTTCTCGAAATTGTGAACGCGTTCGAACGCATACTTGTTGGTAAGCAACGCGTTTTTATTATATTGAACGCGTTAATAGTGGAGGCGTCTTTTATCGCACGAACGCTTTCAACTGATATGCGTTTGAACTTGTTCGCGAGTAATTCGTTATTATAGTTAGAAAACCAGTTTCTCCAAAAACACTTGAAAACGTATACTGAAGAACTTTTTCGACAACTTTCAGATCGCGTTCTTTTATGTAGTGAAAATTACTCATTTTAACTTAATGGAATTCATTATTTGAAATATGTATATCGAAATAGATGTAACGAAAGTGCTATGCCAATTAAGAAATATGTGTCAACATGAAAAAATTTCTTTCTGTTGCAATGCACTGAAAGGTAGTGTCTTCTTAAGCAAAGTGATCATATATCTAGAGTTTCGTAGTAAATGATTTTCCTTTTTCCTAAACTAGTTTTTTTATCAAACAAATTCGCTAATCTCTTGCTTTTTTAATGTACATTCTCAAATCATATATTCTTTCTTTTATTTAAAAAGTAGTAATCGGGAAGGTTTCAATTGATTTTAAACATTAAACAGAAATTTTGCAAAAGTTATGCTAGTGTATGCCTCAAATGTATTTATTACATTTTTATTTGCCATCGAAAGCATCACTTATTTTTGCTCATAATAAAAATCAGAATTGTCCATCGATTTCTAATTAATTTCTATTAAATTTAGCTTTTGTTGATTTAAATTTATAATGAATTTAACTTTTTAAAATAGAAAAAAAATTCAATTTAAACCAATTTAATTAAACTTGAATTCGATAAAAATCACAGTAAATGAGTTTAGATCGCCTGAGAAATATTTAAGTCTAATTACATGAATTTTAATTGAATTTGAACAGCTTTGTATCGAATTTTTATTAATGTAAGCTACATTAGAAAAATTTTATTAAATGTCAAAAAATATTAAAACGTTAAATTTCCAATATTTTATTTTAAAAGAAATTAAAGTTCTTAAACTTTATTTTTGAATTTATTTAATGTTCGTAAACGTAAATGGATCAATCTTAAGTATGAATTTCGTCAAGTCAGAATAAATTTTCTTTAATACAAATAGAAAATTTAGCTCTTCAAACATACAGAAGTATAGTTCATTCGGATATTCACTACTTTGAAACTGTAAGTTTATCTGGTCGAATCCGCTATACGGTAGTAAAATCCAAAACGAATTGGAACGCGTTCAGTGCGAACGCAAGTATTCGAATTGAGGAACCAGCAGTCTGAGAACTTATACGAATAGCAAAGGAACACGTTCGAGAGCATTACAGAGTTAAAAATAAAATAAATGAATGATTTTTTTCTTCTAAATAAGAACGCGTTCTTTCCGCGAAAAACGTGTTCCTATGGAACGATCAGAACGCGCTTTTCATTACACAAACGCGTCTGAAAAGGTCAAAAAAAGTGTCTTTACAACGCAGTCTTTTATCTCGACAACGCGTTCTTATCCGTTCTTTTTTTGAATTTTTTTCCATGGGTAGCGAAACGAAGTTTCAATACTTTAAAAACAATGCTTGATCGTTCAATAGTGATCCCATCATGGTCTTTTTGATCGAAGTGGAACACTACCTCTAAGATCATTCACTCTATTGGATACCCTGCCATAGTTCAAGTGTCTATTCAAAATAGATGCCTGTAGGATCTTCAGTTTTCGGAGAATAATATTTGTTTCTATGAGGAGCCCAAATAAAAACATATGAAATACGTAATTAATTGATGATCATTTCTGAGAGGCATCTGTTTGACGTCAACCGTTTTCAAAGCTATGTGTAATTCCATCGATGTACACTAGATTTTCACATACTGTAGACATCACTCTATAAACTAGTTATACGCTGTTTGGGTGTGGGTACGGGATGTGGTTGTGATTATTCAAAGAGTGCTCCCACGCCCCTGATGTTAAGTCAAAATTTGTCAAGTTCATGTACTCATAAAGTTGTTTTGGTCAAACAGAATTGAATAATTGTTTAACATTCTAGGTTATCATAAATTTATTTGTTTTTTTATGGCATCGTCAATCCTTTGAAAGCACACTTGAAATGATGACATAAAATAGCTAATATAGTTGCAATAAAACAGGACAATTGATTCGAAATGACAATTTTGTTTAATTGTTTGATTTCAAATGGATTTTATTCATAGTCAAGAGACGTCTTACTTCATTTCATATATATTGCTCATAAATCTAATTAGAGAGAACTTTATTCTACCATTCCAAATATAATTAAATCTTCAATACTATTTTATTCACGTTACTGATAGAATACATTTGAATGCAAAGTCTGGATGCTAATAGATTAAATTTTTCTTTGAATCTAAAGTATTTGAAATATGACGGGCACGTAGAATGTATATCTAGACGATTAATCCTTGTTTGTAGCTAACGATATCAGATGTAAAAATAGGAACTTTCATATGATTTCCTTTCTTTTTCTAATTGTGAAACACGATAAAACTAGTTTGATGTTCAAGTCTAGATGAAACAATATGAACGGATGTTAGTAAAAAGATATGGCTGTCAATATCTATGTTACCCTCATTTGGTATAGAGAGTTTCAAATTAAATGGCTAATATTAGCCATATAACTTTTGGAACAAAACAAAACAAATTCAAATAACACCTAACTATCCGGTTGGCGCATAAGTTCTGCACGTTTTTTTTTCTGGTCCAACAATAAATTTATTTTTCAACAAAGATATACAAACATCAATCAGCAATATAATCGTGATTGCTTTCAACAACATTCGCCCATCTTTCTGGCAATAGTTCAAGTTCACGTCTGCAGAAACTAGCCGGTTTTGATTCGAAAGAGGTAGTCAGGTCGGGTTTTAGCTTATCGAAGTCTTCATAGTGTTTATTGCACAAATAGTTACGAAGAGATAGAAACAGATGATAATCGGTTGATGAGAGGTCTGGTGACTACGGCGGGTGTGAAGAAGAAATCCCCATCCTAATTACGTAGTAAGCAGGAAAGATCAAGGTCAATATCAATGTTTGCTTGACTTCGAGAGAGCAGAAATAAATGTATAGTAGTGAGATGAAAGAAAACAGAAGAACGAAAAGAGAATATCTTTGTTGAAAAATAAATTTGTTGCTGGACCAAAAAACAAAAACGTGCAGAACTTATGCGCCAACCGGATATATAATATTGCATGATTAGAATGGTGTGACCTTGATCATCTTAGCGGTAATACCGAAAATAAAAATTGATGAAGATGACATATTGTCTTCACTTAGATTTCTTATCTCAAGTGAAATATGACAGACAGAAGTAACTTTAAAAAAAAAAGATTTAATTAAATATCTCTATTTTATCATTTTCGTAAGTTGACAGATTTTACTTGTCATATTAAATCGATAATCTTCACTTTCATACTAAAATACAAGTATAATTAGCTATTCATTCTGCCTACCTATTCTCTCGTTTCAATTGATTTCACTAATAACTAGCCGTTATTTTAGTAATAATATAAAAACTAACTACGTAGAACCGAGTGTTGATGCGAGAAACGTTTTTTGAATGTATAAACTTTTATAATCATTTTATCAAAATGTGCACGATAATTAGTCATATTGTTTTTTTTTATATATTACACCTATGATAATTTTTTAAATTGTCGTATTCTACGTTGACCTTGTAGATATTACAGCCAATTACTTTAATTTTTTAAAATAAGTTATTTTGACTTAAGAGAAAAAAAAAGAAACTGACATCATTTTGCTAATTTCTATTTCTTGCACTTCCTGTAGTTGTTCTCTATCTCTCCATGTCTTCATTTGCCTCCGCTTTCTCAACAATGACAGATTTATCTCTCATTTTTTTCTCTGCTTGTAAAATAGATTATCTAAAAAAATTATTTCGATCATCCTTATTCTAATAGAGTACATTCTCAAATATAAGGCCATTTGAAAAAAGGTTTCCCCATCAACACATAACTATAACGTCCATATTATAAAACAAATATATTTTCATCATGTTTGGTATTGGAAAACACGCTTACAATTCATCTACGACAAGCATTTATCTATTTTTATTTATTCTTCTTGTCAATCAATTGCTGATCGTGAATTCGTTTCGACTTATGTATCATGATTCGACTGAGGTTTGTAATTTCCTAATGTTTTAAAACACTGGCTATGTGGAGAGAAAAAACTACTACCTTATCATAATTCACAAAAATATAATGCTCAACCAAGATTCGAGAAAAACGAGTTATCTTAACTTGCTGCATGAGAATTTCATATAAGCAGTGCTCATTTTTCCTGCCCATAACAAATAATCTTCAATTATTGAGGATGTACCATCCGGATATACCTCCGCCCATTTTCTCAAAGTCTACTTTCATGTTGACAATTGACGAGTTGTAGTGAACTATTTGTTAGGTCAATATATTCGTGAGGTGTCGACTGGTATAAATTCGATTCCTAGAATTTAAATATACTTCTTTATCCGAAACATCAGACAAGTAATATATAGGAGCAGTTCTTTTCTCTATAATTTTGCACGTATTATATGATGATTTTTTTGTCTTGAATCTATGTATATAGAACGAACCGGACGAGGCAAGACGAGCAACTTTCGGACAATCAGAATTTGAAAATGTTGCATTTTTAGGTAAGAAAAACAAATATCTATTTATTATGTACATTCAATGTATCTTTTATTTTGTCTTCAAGACAAATCTTTATTGCATGCTAATAATTTACAGCCACTAATAAAGCCAAAATTTGAACGTAAGTTTTACACTTTTTAATAACTTGTCTATATTTGTAACATAGGTCGATTCTGTTGTATGAGCCCATTACTCAGTGGTCGGAAACGATCAATACGAGATTTAACAAAAAAACAAATCGAAAGACAACAAGCATAATATTTGTTAACTGATTCAGAATAATTCAAATATGTGTGCTCATTATCATATATGTTTACAAAAATAAAATAATAAAAATTGAAAATATTGATTGTCTTCGTTTTAAAATTTTCTATAAATGAACCTAACACAACGAGTTTTACTGAATCTGCATGTACGAATGGCATTCACATTGCTTTTAAATTAAAATATAAGCCCTTGTTGAACCTAGCAAAAATAAATACTACTTACTTATATGACAGAACAATATTCAATAAGATTTTTTAATTCATCTCGTACTTGCTCTAATATAGTAAAAATTCTGTTTAATGAAAGATTAGTTGATACATGAAAATGTATCACTTTAGTGTGTTCTTCGTTATTAAAAAAGTCTAAATAAATAAAATTTATAAGAGACACAAAACAAGAATTCACCTTAATTTTCTTTTAGATGTGGAACACTACCAAAACATTTGAATTTTCAATTGACCATAATAATGAATTCGAAAAAAAAGATCATAAACAAACAAAAAAACAATTTCTTTTTTTGTTTAATCTGACTCTACATTAGTATTCATATGATTGATTCTCATCTTTTTATGGTTCAAGGCTCGAGTCATCTCGTTGAAATTTATTTAGAATACATGCATCGGGACAATAAAACCAACCAATCCTTCACTGTTGATTGAAAAGTGATGGACTGAATCGGGATCACTTTCAAGAATATCAATGATTGAAATGCAAAATAAATCTTCGCTACCCTATATTCTGTTCAATTTCACTAAATCAATCATACGTAAAGTATCATGATTTGTAATTGCTAGAATCCGAATATGTACACCTTCTCGTTACGGATGGTGTTATACACTGGAAAGAGTCTCACAGGCTATTATCAACGTCTTAGCGATGCTTCATCATCTTTCGTGAGATTAACAACCATAGCTACATCGTGTTTCACACTTTTGTTTGGTCCTACAAAAATTGCGTAACAATACCTTGCGGCTATAACGGAAATGAATTTTGACCATCGTTATTCTTTTGCAAAAAGCTTTGTAGCGCAGCCCCTTTGGAACTAAACTGTGGAAGCCACATATATCCCTTAGGCTTACTAAAATAATTCAAAATAGTTCGTCTGAAAAACCTACCTCGATTTACAAAACCTATAATTAGGTCATTGCCTATTTGCTGATGTCTGTAATGGAATATTAATTGTTAGCTCGTATATTTAGCAATGGCAGAGACTAGTTTCTATGGTCTTTTATAGGCAAGCATTGCTTTTTTCATGTAGTGTGTAATTAAAAAAAGAAAGAAATAGTAGCCTAATTAGCACAATTTTAAACTCGTTAATGTCTGTAATCGGGAGGGGGTGGGGAGCCGCAAAAATCTCGCTTTTACACTTACACTCATCATTTTCTTCGAAAATATATGTGAGTTCGACAAAAGCGAATACAAATTAGATACGATGCTTGCTGCGATCTATAGAGGCATTTCACAGTGGTATACTTATAGCTTCAATGGATATTCACAGATGAGAGTATGGGCGTGAATTTATTTGAGTCCGAACTCCACACCCATATTTTAACAAGCACATTTATACAGATCAAATAGGTATGAAATTAAAAGAAAATAATATTGTAAGAGCTATTTCGTCTTTTTTTAATTTTCAATTAAAAAACGAAAGCCTATGAGAAAGACAACAAATAATCGACCATTTAATGCTAAAAAGGGAATCACCGAGTTTGCGTAATCACGAATAGAAATAATAGTTCTCATATTGGTTCTAAATTAAAAGCACATAAATTACCATCAATAATAAATTGTATTCATTGAACTTACTGACAACATTGGATCTTTTCGGCAATAATTTGAAAGAATTTTCATCTTGGCTTGTTTCTTTTGAAATCTGATTTTCTTCTTGTACTTTTGCGAAATTGACAAATATATCGTCAAGTGTTACTTGCGTAACCGTATAATCTTCGATAATACTTTTTAATTCATCTCGTGCTTTTTCTAATATACTAAAAATTTGATATAATGAAACATTTATTGATACACGAAAATGCATCATTTTATTATGTTCTTCCTTGATAATAGCTTCTGGTATTTGTTTTTGAATATAGTCAATAACAGTTTTTCTATTAGTATCCATATTTGTTCGAATAAGTATTGTATAACCATCACCAAATCTTAATATAAATAAACTTTATAAGAGACAAAAAAAAACACAAGAATTCGCCTAACTTTTCTTTTAAATGCTGGACACTACCAAGACATTTGAATTCACCACTGACCATAATAACGAGTCCTACAAGAAGATATTTTAGTGGGAAAATAAAAACTAATTTGTTTTGTTTTTGCAAATATTTCTTACGATTGCATAATGTTTCACATTCTTCCATTGAATGTGACGTTATGACTACTGATTTTCGATCTTCACGTGTCAGTTTTAGTATACAATTCCATAGGAAACGTTTCGCACGTACATCCATTCCTGTGGTTGGCTCCTAAATATTAAAACAGTTTTTGTTTATTCTAACTTCAATTTATTTCGAATGCAAGTTTAGCAAGAGTTAATTATCATGCGCAGTATTTTCAATTCAACTTACATCCATAAATATAATTGATGGATTTCCAATAAGCGAAATAGCTGTAGATAGCTTTCGTTTATTTCCACCTGAGTACTGATGAACTGGTCGATCAGCCCAGAGCGTTAGACCGAGCCGCTTTAATAAGCAATCAGTAATCTAAAAAATATGATGAAAAGTACTTTTAGGATAGAGAAAATTTTAAATTTACAAATGGAATATTTTTTTGTTTGATTCCACATAATCGAGCATAGAAATAAAGATGTTCGCGTGCTGTTAATAATGAATCCAGTGCATCAAATTGTGGACAATAACTAGAATTGAAAATTGCAATAAAAAAAAATTCCAAGTGAATCTTTGTTACCCTATATTTTGTCGAACATCATCTAGTTGTTTAATTACACTATGATTATTGACATAAGCGTTTCCATCTGTCATGGAAATTTCTCCTGTCAGCATTTTAAATGTGGTTGATTTTCCTGAACCATTAATACCCAATAAGCCAAAGCATTCACCTTGTTTAACACCAACACATGTTTTTTTAACAGCTGTAAAATTATTTCCCAATGCTCCTCCGTAAACCTATTGCAAAAAAAAACAAGAATTTTGCAAAACTTTCGTTCGACTTTCATAGTATTCATTACTTTGACTAAATCAACCATTCGTAAAACATCACGACTTGTATTATCAGGATCCAAATAAATTCTTGTTCGTTCAGCAGCAACATCATCATCTTCATTCGTAGATTTGAGATTTTTCGGTGTACGCATACAACCACTGTTACCGAAAAATCGACATAAAATCAGATGTATTTTGTGAAATATCGTTAAAAAAAGTGCAGTTACACCGTGTTTCTTACCGATCAGGTATAAAAAATCGATATTGAGCAAGAATAGCAAGTACGAAAAAGATGATGCCTTGAAAAAATAATGAGATTAAATTGCGACCGACAATATCGTTTCGAAATGGTGATATTGGAACATAACCAGCGACTAAAAACATATGAACCTACAAATAATTTCTCTTAGTAGAATTCTAATACACGAACCATATTTTAGACTAAATGTATTGATTGCATGTATTCGGCTCATATCAAATAGACCTCGACCAAGACAATAATGTGGGAAAATAAGAAATATCTTCTTTAGAATACTATTGATGCGTGTGAGATCAGCTTGGTCATCGAAACTTTCCAGTATAAATGTTGATATCGTCGTTATTAAACCAATAAAAATATTAACACACGAAATCAATACAAAGCCAGTTGATGGTGTTGTAAAAAAATAATTTATTAAATACATCAAAGGTATTATTGAAAAACCATACAGAAATAATAATATTAGAAGACAAAGAAAATTTGTTTTATAGATATATGCTTCAATTCTAAAGATAAGAAATATAACCATACAACACGCGATTGATACACAATAGTTTGCTAGATCCCACAGAAGATTTCCACTCCAATAAGTGATACCTAGAGAAAAATAAACAATGAAATAATTCTTAAAAAGCTGACTAGCTGAGCTGCCTATTCGAGCTCAGTTGACAAAGAAACTGAACTGTATCTTAATTTACCTTTGACACCACTAACGAATTGCAAATGTTTCGATGTTGTCACACGTTCATCAATGAGAAAAACAAGAAAACTTGCCGGTATGAATGCCAATGCAAATATAATACAAATAGCTGTAAAAAGTTCTAATGTAGCTTGACTTAGTAAATCACTATCGATCTGTAGTTCACTTTGTGGTAACGGATGATTTATTGCTGTTATACCGTAATCACTAATATCAATCGATGAGTTACCTTGTGATAATAGACCTCTTAATAGAGCATTATTGAATATGTTTAAAAATGCAACACTTGCCGGCCATCCTTTATTATTATACCAAACCTAAAATAAAAACATTTCTTGAATAGAGCATTTATTCAATTCATTTTTTTACCGCAATCTGCGGTGGATTAATTCGAAAGAGTGAAGCAATTTTCGACGCTTGGTTCTCAGTTGATGATTGATTGGTAATGTTCAGTATTCGATTAATTAACGTTTCACTGACAATATCATAACTATTCAATATAGGATTTGGTTGAAATTCGAAACCACCAAAACGAGCCATTAAATATTCTAGATCGTATTCAGTTTTTACAAGCCAATCGGTTATATTAAATCCTTGCAAATCATACAAAATATCACTGGTGTTAGTAATATCATAACTAGCTGCTGGCCCACCACTACCAATGGGACATGTTTGCATTTTTTCCCAACAATCACATGCAGGTGATATACGTGTTTGATTATAATTAACATTATTTAATGCATTCATAACGTTCGCATTCGTTTGAACATCAACATGGTCAATACCGTTATTCATACATGGATACAATCTTTTATTGAAAATTGTTGTTTTAATACAACGTGTGCCCAATGATGGCGAATGAGTAAATGTATCTTTTACGGAAAGTGATATAAGTGAAACATTTTCATTCATAGGCAATGATTGAAACATATGATTTGGTTTATTCCAATACCACGGATGAAGAATAAGCATCGGTGGGTCTGATTGATTCGGTGCCAATTTTGTAACCAATATAGCAAGTAAGATGAAGAGAATCGGAAGAATAATTTCAGCAATAAATCCTTTCGTATTGCGTTTTGTTCGATGAAAACGTTTTATCATTAATGCACTTATTTGCACGGCTATAAATTGCACACCTGTATAGCGCTCAGCAGTATGTGAACCCCATTCGTCTAAATATAAGTAAAGAATCCGGGTGTTAATCTCAAACAAATCGAAGAATATATTTTGGTTTTGGAGATTTCAATTAAACTAGAAAAACAAGCGGCGTGGATTATTAGAGATTGAATTAGTATTAATGTGTCATCAAGACGGAAGCATATCTGAATTTTAGTTTGAACAAGTAAAATCCTTGAGTTGACAAATTTTTTTATGCAAACAATCTTACCACTGAATCCTGTATTGGTCTGTAATTGTTCATCGTTATTTTCGTTCGCCAGGCTTGCGTTTTTTGGCTTGTCTTCTTTTTTAAATAATTTTCGTGTACGATTCTGAAATTTTTTCCATTGTGATAAACGTTCATAATCTTCTGCCCGTTTTATTTCATCAGCAACACGAAGAAATACTTGTTCAAGACCACTATTTGATAAACCGTAACTTTTTACATGATATTTTGTTTTATTTTCATCAAGTTCAGCAAGCATCACTGGAAACACTTTCGTATGTTCAACATCATCTTTTATCACATAAGTTATTTGATCACCGTGTTCTTCTTTAATATTAATATCGAGTATATATCTTCGAAGGAAGTCAGTTAATTGTTGGAAAAGCATCGAATGTTTATTATTGTCTTGTTGTTGATGAGTTTCATCCGATTTTAATTCAACTATTAAATGATAACCTTCACCATATTCTCGTTTTAAGTGCATTGTTGTGCCAACACATTTTAATTCACCGGAACATATGATGGCTAAACGATCACTTAGTAAATCAGCTTCATCGAGATGATGTGTTGATAAAACAATGGTTCTTCCCGGTTTATACTTTAATACAAGATCCCATATAGCTCGTCGAGCAAATGGATCAACACCTAATAAGAAATAAAGCGAAATAGTCAACTGATTGTCGTTTGTGGAGTACAAATCTACGGTGTTTATTCAAATACCTGCTGTAGGCTCATCTAAAATAACTGTTGTCGAATTCCCAATAAATGCAATGGCAATAGAAAGTTTCCTTTTCATGCCTCCCGATAGTGCCGTTGAATAATTTTCTGCTTTGTTTTCTAATGTCAAGTCTATTAACATCTTTTCTGTTTCGCTTTGCATTAATTCTTGTGATGTACCTTTCAATCTAATCAACAAAAGCAAGACTTAAATATTGTTCTTTTTATAAAATGATTAAATAATCTTACTGAGAAAAAAATTCCAAATGTTCTTTTACTGTTAATAAATCAAATAAAATGTTATATTGCGGAGCGAAACCGAGTCGTTTTCGTATTAGCTTTATATCCGTTAGGATATTATATCCATCGACATAGACTGTACCGCTCGATGGTGGTATTAAACCAGTTAATATTGACCACGTTGTACTTTTCCCGGCGCCATTTCTTCCAAGAAATGCCGTTATCATATTACGATAAAATTTTACCGATAAATCTTTTAATGCCATTTTATTTCCATAATATTTCGATAAATTTTTAATATTAACACCAACATCGCCCTGATCATTTTCAACTAAAAAGAAAATGCACACACTTCTATAACTATGTTTTTAGTGGTTGAAAAAAGTTAACCATCAGTTTGCTGCTGATCGGTGCTTTGTGCGTCAAAACCAAACCAATAGCTCTTTTTAAATGGATAATCCCATGGTTGTGGAATTCCAAATTCACCTAAACATTGAATAGACAGCTCGAACATAAAGTTTCCTAGTTTTATTTTATGTATTACCGGGAAATACATTTTCAATATAAATAGCTAACAGCATATATATAATCGAATCGATAAACATCATAATAATACAGTAGAGAACTGTAAAATTATCATTTGGTGTCATGCGTTTATTTAGATTAAACCATTGAATACCTTGAGCCATACCTTCCAATCGAGCAATATAATTACAACCGAGTCCAAAAGAAACAGTCGATGAAAGACACTAAAGAAAAGCAAAATATTTATTTCAATTTCAATTTGACATATCTTACGGCAATGATTTGTTGCCACGTTTTTATTTGAGCACTATAATTAATTACAATCGTATATGGTAAATAGAGAAGAAAATATATAATTCCAGCTCCTAGAATATATACACAATCGAGACACAGTTTTATATTTAAGATTCGTAAATGAATACCGCATGCAGCTAAATTGGCTCGGTTGAAAAAGACGCTTATGAGAAAACATTGAGTGATTGTTGCAAACGTATAGGCAATAAAAAATAGAAATAATACAAATATATTTGAAAATTTTAGAATTTTGCCAAACTAGAAAAAGATTTTTATCCGATTATCAAAGGCAGATATTCAATAGGTTAAGGATAAATTTACCTTTAAAAGTAGTACAAGTAAGATTGCTGTCAGAATCATGATAGTTGTGCATAAAATAAACCATGTAAACCAATGAACAGAATCTTTTAAACCCATAATTTTCATTATTTCTTTTAATCGTCTTTAAAACAAAACAAAAATGAAAAACTTCAATACGCTATCATTTTTCCATTATCCTACTTTTCTTTTTCTTGTACGATATCTTTAACATTCATTGATACTGTAAATATCCAACTTAATACCATTAACAACGGTAACATTCGACTAATTGAATTAACAAATCTAAAATCAAATAATCATTTTATTGCTTTGAAAATAAAAAAAAACAATCTATCAACGTACTGATCATTGATCCAACATGGATAAGGCATTTGTTGTGTTTTTATACCGTATGGTAAATTTGTTCCTGTATGTGCACTGATAATGGCTCGTTCAATGGCGTTTTGCAAATAAATAAATGTATACGAATGATATTTTGTTGACAATGGTGCACTTGTACGAGGTGCATATTTAAAATATCTACAAAAGCGAATGGAAATTTCTAAAATTTTTGTTTAAAAAATTAACGTTACCGATCTGCAGTTTGAAATGTACTATCAACAAGATCAAGTGTCATTCTTATTTTAAATCGAACATGTGCCGGTAAACTTGCATTACTCGATATATCATCCATAAATGTAATAGCAGCTAGAAAATTGTTTGTTAGAGATGCATTTTGTCCTGCTTGTATCATATCTAGTTCGCTATTCATTGCTTCAAAACGATTCAATTCTGTACAAGCAATAAATTCTGTTAAAATCACAGATAAAGTTAGCATTCTTTGATAGGTTGGTATTTGTTCACACATTGCTGACAAGTTCGAAAACGTATCACACATGGATTGATATGTTTCAAGTGTTGATTTCATTGATAATCGTAGTTGACGGAGTACTTGAACAAGTTCATCTAAGGATTCAAATGTTTGATTGATTTGTTTTATGATATTGTCATAATAAATATTTGATGGAGAATAATAGATTTTTCCGTATAAAATAGGACGAAGAACTGCTAGAAATTTTCTTAGTATAGCATTTGAATTGAAAACTTGATTGAGTAACACGCACCGACATGGGCGATTGATCGTGATGACTTTTGTCAGACTACCGGTAGTAACTGTATATGCTTGTAGACACATTTCAGATTCATTATATGAAATTAAATCGGATCCTAAACCGTCCCAGTCAATATCAAATCGTGATGCGTTTGTTGTTGCGCGTGTTGGAGCATTTTGAGTCTGATTATTTTCAGTATTGCTCGAGTTATTTTGATTTGTATAACTTGAAAAATCATTACGACCCCCACACAATGAACTTAAACTAAAGTTTGAATATTATAAAAATTATATTGTCGGTTCCTGTTTCGAAATAATTGAATGCGAGCGAACAGTAGTTATCAATTTATAAAAGTACTTTTTAAAATGATAATTAAATAAAAAATGAGGAAACATCGGATTTGCATCCGATTGTTATGTGTACTGCAAAAACTGAGTCGATTTATATATGTTGTAGATCATAATGAGAAAAAAAATTTTTTTTTTGAAAAAATTCCTGTACTTCCCCCTCACTCAGGGATGGTCTGGTCAATAATGAAAATTTTTTCGATAACTCAGCCATTTCTTGGTGGATTCCTCTCATTTCAGGAGCTATCGTGTAAATGGCCGGCCGGACACACTGACCCCCCCCCCCCCCCCCCCCCGC